GTCCTGGGCCCAATTCCCATCTTTGTTACTTACTTACATTGTAAAATGGATTCTCCAAAGGGATCTCCCATGCTGCCTTCTGCCAGTGAATGAGCCAAGTTCCCAAGATTGGAACCTGCAGCTCCCCCAGGGGGATTTCTCCAGGTTTTCTAGAGCACTTCCCCTTTTCGTGGCTCCTGAGGCTATATAGGGAGACCAGGGTGGTGCAGGTGGACTAGGGCCGTGCAGGTGGCTGGAGGCTATACAAAGATGCAGGGTGCTTGTTTGGCTGAGTTTACATACTGGTGTCATTGGTGTCCACACGGCCACCAAAAGAGTGTTGCTGATGGTCTTTGGTGATTTCCTTTGTTAGTACTTCATTATTTCTGTCCCTCCATGAACCTAGAGTCATGGAAAAGCACACCTGCGGGCCGGTAGTGTGCATGCCTTTAACCCCAGCATTCAGGAGGCAGAGGCAGGCAGATCTCTGTGAGTTCGAGGCTAGCCTGGTGTACAGAGCAGTTACAGGACAGAGTCCAAGCTCCAAATTTGCACAGGGTGCACAGAGTAACCCTGTCTCAAGAAAAGCATACAAACAACAACAAAAAGAAAACATAAAAAGCACACCTAATGTGCAGTGCTGTTCTCTGAGTAGATGCCTCGAAGCTCTTATTCCTTCCAATTAAAAACCCTCATACCATAACCTAATATAATATATAAGCCTTCCCAGCTTGGCCAAAAGGGGGATGAAGAGAATCTGAATGCTCATCTTATGTATTCATCATTGTGGCATTTTGCAGAGCATAGTATTTGGAGAAAAATGAGACAAAATTCACTTAATAACATCCCAAGCATATGGTGAGGCTCTCAGACAAGTTATTTATGGCCTTGATTAACCTTGCAATATTATTGCCGTTTTGAATAGATTTTACATAACAACATAAAGATATTGTCTGTACCTCTCAACATAGCAGGATTATCTTATCTCTTGTTCTTTTATTTAGCCTTCCCTGCTCTCCCTTACCTCAACATTTCCAGCAAATTGATCATAGGAAGTCGAAGCCTCTGGGTGGTGATTTTATGAGAGCCTCTTTCCTGGCACTAGGGCATAGCAACAGCGCCACCAAAAGGACAAGGTCTGCCATTGCCAGACTCTGTTTCATGTATTTGTCAGGCACTTAGTTATCTGTGTTTTTACTTGATACCAGCATGCAGGCTACCGTGCATTTTAAGTGTTTCATATCTAATAGCTCTTAATTTCTGCTAATCTGCAGATGTATTAGTTCCTCAGCTCTTTGGGGATATGCTAGATTTGTTACCCTGGTCACCTATGAAGGTTGGGATTGGCCATGCTAAGCTGTAGATAAAATCAGATGAAACTATAGAAATGATACATGAAAACTGATAATAGAGCCACAATGATTTCTGTACTGTCAGAAGAAAATAAAGCAATGTGTGAGTTGTTCTGCAGCTAGTGACTGTGAAAGTCACCTCACAGGGTAAACATTATTCTCGGGTACTTGCTGTCTGTTATATCTTACAACAGTTTCAAGTTTAGCAGTACAGTAAAAACTTACTGTCTTCGATTTTAAATATAGAATGGCATGCAGTGAGAGTCAAAAAAATGAATTTAATTTATAAGAATTGGACAGTCTCATGTACTCCAGAAAAATCTATCTTGGGGCTCCTTTTTTTTCATGCCATATACTAAATGGATCTTGCCATGTTGTTATTCAGATCATTGTATTGCACATTCTGCATGAATTCCCAAGGTACATTAAACAAAACAAGAAAACTAGTGTTGAGATGAAAACTGTGGAATCTCACTGAATGGGCACAGATTCTGGCTCTACTATTTCCTGGCAGGCATGATCCTGGGTTAATACTAGTATCTGAATGTCCTCTTCTAACAAATGGGGTTAATTATATATAGTTCCCAGATTTCCTGTGGAACTCAAATGAGATAATCTCTCTCAAGAATTAGCATGGAGTAAATGTGAAGTAAATATAAGTCACTGCTGTTGCTGTTGTGGCTGTTTGTGGACACTGGTAAGTTGCTGCCATTGCCATTACTGGTACTATTGAGTTACTTATAGGCATCAGAATGGTATTTTGCATCCGCTAACAGTATTCTATAGATAAGGCTGAACTCTAAAATCAATCCTTAATTTTATTTTCTATCACAGGTTCTGTCACAGGATGTTATGACCTAAAAATAAATTTACTGATGCATACATAGAGAAATACAGTAGGGAGGGAAAATTTTTTTCTTCACTACTCATATAGATCCATTGCTGAGGATCTATAACAGAAGACAGATTAGTTTAAAAAAACATACAAATTAATTGCAATTAAGTTTTGCATGACAAAAGAGCCCTCAAAAATAAATGAAGACCCAAAGAAATGATTAAACATGTAAGAAATGGCTAAATGCATGTTGTCATGCTAGATTTCACAGAGTAGAAACTCATGGAGAAATATGATTTAATAAAGGTAATAGGATTTATTGGAAATATACTAGGGGAACTTAGCAAGACCTTTTGGTGAGTTTCTTCCCTGTTTTCCTGCATCTTCAAAAATGAGGATTTTTCTAGTCACATGGGTTGTTATGAGTTGGTTCAGGGTCAGATCATGAAGTCCTGACTAGGTTTCATGAGTTTCATGAGAGGCAGAGGTGGTCAGGAATGAGTGACCTTGTTGTTTCTTCGGTTTCTCAAATGCAAGATACGGAATGTGGGGTAGTGAGGCTTAAACCCCATAATATCCACTTGGTGACATTTGCCTTGAGACAGACAGCCACTGGCCCTCCCACATCTTCATGTCACCAGTTTTTACTCCTCTGAAAAGCTCCTGCTGAATGTTCTCAAGCACTATGAATTGTGATCGGATGTGCTCTTCCGCTCGTATCACTGAATCTATTTTCTGTTATCTAAAGAAGAGTAAAGAAAGGAAGCAGCGAGTCTGCATCATTCACAGAGCTGCATCCCACACACAATAGGTACTTTCCAAGGGAGGAAAGACGCATCTGGAGTCAGGGCTTGGAATGAGTGCACGTAGAATTAATGGCTATAAAATTCAGGGGTGGGCATTTGCCTGAATATCCGAACTGTGATGTTTTGGGAAGTTTTGGAAATGCCTGTGAAAATAAATAAGCAAAGTCTAGTCACTGGAGGCCTCAGTGCTGCTGAACTACTGAGTGAATACCAATGAATTTATTATTGGGAATAATTTTCTATTCCAGTGTGAGTTGATCCAGAGAAGCAATCCGTTAGGCCTTTCGCTTGCTAATTTCTCTTGCTATGAAGTAATAAAGCCAAAATCGTCAACTAAATTTCACTTGCAAATTGCTGAAAGTTTGATTTCTCTGGAGATCAAATAAGCCTTGTGACATGTCTTCTTCCCCCTGTCCTCCCAGCTGTTGTTTCTTGCTACTGAAATGGTGATGCCCTGATGTCATCCAGTTACCAAGGGTCTGAGCACACTGAAATTCACAGTGTATCACAGGTATCCAGGCTAAGTGAGTGATTATCGCACAGGTTGTTTGATACAAATTAAAGTAATACTCACAAGAGAGTGTTCATAGACAAAAGGACTTTATGATCATGAATTCCCATCACCTGTGTAATTAATATTATAGGATCCCTTAAAATAAGAACTGCATGGAGAATAAGAAAAGTGGTCTCTTTACGTACAGCCATTCTGCTAGCCTTGGATGTGGGCCAGTACTCATTGTGGGTAAGAAAGCCTTAACACCAACCTCTCTGGGATCCAAAGTAACATTCTGAATACAAAGAAAAAATGCATGCCGAATTCCAACTTGTAATAAAATAAGAATGCCAAAATAAAGTAATTTTTCATCATTGTTAGCTACATAAGGAAAATATTTAGAATTATGTTCAAAATGGAGTTCGTATTAGCTGTAACAAACTTTCCCCCCTTTATAGGCCAAAAAGGAAAGACCAAGTTTCGTTACTGTTATTTGTCTTTCTGGAGGGTTTCTTCTGCTTTGTTTTATTTGTCTGTTTGTTTGTTTGTATTTAGTTGTTTCAAATGATAATGGCAGGTTTATTGTGGGGGAAATTTGAATGTTCACATGTTTATTTTCTCAGCTTATTTTCATTAGTGCTTACAGTTGTATCCTACAGTTGGGGGATGACCCCCCCCCAGGCCTAAGATTCACATGAATGATTCCAGTTAATGGCATTAGATGTGATGTGTAAATATGTTTTCTGTGTCTTTAGTTATTGCTCATGCTTTCAACAGAGCATTTGCTCTTTGGGAGATCTTCTTTCCTTTTGCTCTCTCTGGAAATCGCAACAGTATAAAAACTCCACAAGAAGAACTCTAATGTGTGGCCTTTATTTACATCGTAGACGTTATTGAACCTTATCACCAGCTATTAGAATAACCTGCATTTTATTGTTTATTTCACCCAGTGGTATACTGGCTCTCTCAGAGCCTTTCTTTGCTTATGCTGTGAAGCACAGCCAGTTTTTTTTCCTGTAAATGGAATGTCAAAAATTGAAAATAGTTGCTATCAAGTGGGAGCTCACAGACTCCACACTGACAATGGGGAACCTGCATAAGACGGAACCAGGCCCCATGAATGTGGGTGTCAGTTGAGGGACCTGAACTGTATGGGGCCACTGGCAGTGGAAACAGTATTTATTCCTAGTGTACAAATGGCTTTGGGAGCACATTCCCTATGGAGGGATGCTCTCAGCCTAGATGCATGGGGGAGGGCCTAGGTCCTGCCCCAAATGATATGACAGATTTTGATGATCCCTTATGGGAGTCCTCACCCTCCCTGAGAGTGGATGGGGCTGGGGGAGGGGGAAGGTGAGGGAAGTGGGAGGATGGGAAGGAGAAGGAACTGGGAATGGTGTGTAAAATAAGATTGTTTTTAATTTAAATAAAAATTAATTTAAAAAAACAAGGAAATTGTTGATATGAAAAATCAAAGTGTGCATGAAGATCCCTGTGCTGACTGTGCTATCTCACAGGTGTTTTGTCTCTTACAGCCTGTCAACCAGGGTCATCACTATCAAACAGAAATGAATCCACCTTCTCCTTTGAACCCTCGGTAAGAGTCATTAATAACCTACATGGTTTTGATTCAACATTTTTTACTTAGAAAGCTGTATGTTATTCTTGTTTATATAAAATGTATCTGCCAAATTTTTATTGGTGGTGGTTGTTTGTTTGCTTGGCGGCTGCTTGGCTTGTTTCGAGTTTGAGACAGTGTCAACATGAAATAGCTGTCCTCTAACTTGCTGTGTAGATCAGGCTGGCCCTGAATTCACAGAGATGCGCCTGCCAGTACCAGTGTCCAGCCAGGCTTCACTTCTTTTACATTTTACTCCACCTTCTATTCTTATCCAAACCGTGTGATAGTGGTAACAATCCACCTGTGTTCAAATGCCTGGCTGCAGGGTTTTAAGCAAGTCATCTAATGCAAGCTCATTCATGGAATTTTGAGGAAGTTCAAATGGACGAATCAGTGAAAAATCCTTAGCATAGTTATTAGCACATGCCAAGCTCTTTATGAGCAGTAACTTACTTGTGATTTTTCATAATATGCCATTTTATAGGAATTTGATTCTAGTGCATATGGAATATGAGTGTTTTATATGCCTTTAAATTTATCAAGATGCCTTATGCACGTTCAAATAACAATTCACTTTTTTATAAATTCATAATTAATTTTTAATCAAAATATTTGCTACTTCAAAAATATTATTGTCATCTGAATCACTTGTTAACATAATTTTAGGCTGATTAGGAAGAAACAAGTATGAATTTGAGCATTAAAAACTCATACGATAGCCAGCCCATGCTTTCTCATGCATATTTGTGGAAGCTAATTTATTCAGATAAATCATTACTTCATTACTGTTTGCTAGGGGATTCTTGGAAACCAGTAAATCATGAGCTCCACTGTCTTAGTTACACATCTCTAACCCATTTGTGAGTTGTCCTGTGGAGTAAGCTGACATCAAGGAGAACACAGCTGTGTCTCCAGAGTGTGGTCTGTTACATCATGTGTGACTTCCCACTGCAGTGACTTGGAGCAAAGACAACTTTCCTAGTATTGAGAGAGCTAGGAAGAGAGAGAGAGAAGCAGGAGGGATTTGTTAAATTAGAATTCCAAGCTGCATACTAGAAGAGAAAGACATGCAGGGTCCCTTCTCTTCCTGTTTGCAGCCTCCTTTGGAAATGCTCCATTCTTCTCTCTAAACACTAGCTCTCTCCGCTGCTCATTTAAAATATGGCTGGCCTGATAGCTCCTAAGTTCAGTCTACATGTGGAGGCTAACAAACATGTCTAAATCTCAATTTCTACTTTCTAGTTTCTACTTTCAATGTGATTGGCTGAGAGTGAACCAAGTATCCATTTCTGGTCCAATCCATGAGGAATAGTGAGCTAAAGCATGGAAGAGTACTAACAAGGTTCCTGGTGACCATCTACATGGCTTGCGGGACTTTTATTAGAGCTGGGAATATTTATGACCTAAGTAGAAATTAGCACTCATCCTTGTATTCCTAGCCCATGCAGCTGATAGGAACTTTAAAGAAGTGTCACTATCACAAATAATGAGTTTAAAATTTATGTTAGAATTTCAGCATTTATAAAAAGGCATTTTCATATTCATTCATAGACGATAGATAGACAGATAGACAGACAGAGTCACTTACAACCTTCCCTGATAAGTTTCTTTTCTATATGCGAAAAAAGCTGGAAATTTAACTTTAACCCTAATTATAAAAACTTGAGAATGTGTAGTTTGAACAAGTGAGATGGGAGTAAGATACCCTAGAAAGTAGAACACTGGCTTCAAAAGGAGAAGTCATCATCACCCACTCACCTGGTAAACTGTCTCTGGCAAGTCTTTCCCCCTTGCCAGATTTCACATCATAATGCAAACCTCCTCGTGTGTGAAAGAAGGAATTGGAATTACGTGCCTTCTGAGGTTATTTTAACCTTAGGACTCGGTGACTTCTGCAAGACTCATTCCTACTATAAAGGGTCACAAGACTTGACTTTATTTCACTAAGCTGATAGAAAAGAGTCATAAACACTGGATGAGTGATTGACATTTTGTTGGGATAGTATGTGACTCTGACTATCCCCTTTTCCAGTTGATTTCAAAATTAGAATACAAAAAAAATTCACCAACAGAACAGACATTATTTTTCTGCAACCAAGTAGTCATTCACTTAGGAAAACTAGTTTACATTTCTTCATATTGAAATTTAAAGGAAAAAAGCATAAAGAATAAAAGTTGATTTCAAACCCATTTGCTATCAGGTAATCCAACGTTTACTAGAAAATTATTATATAACTTCAAAAAAACCTGTAGCTTATGTCCTGACTCATAAATTCAGCAGCCTGGAGAGTTGACAGAAAGGCATTATTGGGCCATAAACATAGAAGATGGTAAAATTTTGAGATCAGCATTATCGCCATATAAAGTAAGATGAATTGATTCATGTAATGCATGTGATTTAATTTCAATTGAAGGCCAGCATTATGGTTTACATTTGCATTATAAGAAAACTATTGTGTTTCTCATAAATAATACCCCATACTTTAAAGTGTGAGAAGCCAATTCTCTAAGTGCAAGCCTCTCGGATAAAAGAACATCTAATGTGAATCCTAGATGGGACATTTTGCTTAGGGAGAGCCTGAGCAGTGTCTAAAGAGCAGGCCTTAGTGTGATCATAATCATAGCAAGGGCATGAGAGCAGAGACAGGAAGCATGTGCATGTATGCCCCCTAAGAGCACAGCAGGATATGACAAGTGACCACATTAGCTTCAGAGAAATGCTACAACCACTCCAGGCATCCGTAACCCTAAAATGTTTAAATTGTGTGTGCTCATGTGCATATACATACGGATTTAGAGTCAACTCAATTAGCTTCATTAGTGGAACAGTGAAGTCAGCGTCCTTGGGGTCTTTCAGTTATATTTTGTTCTGGAAAGATTTTCATTTCTGAAACATAATTGCTCTCTTCCTTTTGTGAGTGCAGGATTAATAATAAACATAATATATAGTCCACAAAGCAAGCAAATTCAGGTGCTAGAAAGTTGGCTCCAGGTTGGAAATAGCTAAAACACTGAATATATTCATAGCTTGTTTTCTTCCCAGTGAAATCATTCACTTACACTCTCAGGGCAGTGCTTGACATTGGATCGAGGTGAGATGCAATGGTAATCATTTTCCCGAGAAGATTACAGTCTAGGAAGTGAAATGTATATGGTTCACCTCATCACATACCCTGGTATGTCTCGATTTGCACAGAGCCATTTCCCCATGCATCCTTAGGCAGGGGGTGGCATTTCCCATTATTTTTTCCTAATGCACCAGCTAATATTTAGGCACCATCTCAGATACTGGGGCCCTTTCCTCCCTATCCACTTCATGGGGCACTGACAGCTTTTACAAGGTACAGAAATGGCTAACATTATCTAATACAATTTAGAGGAGTGAGGGGCAGGAGGAAACAATTTCACAGTTCATTCATGTTGAGAAATGTTTCCTAGCATGTAAACGTGCATGCTGCCAAACAGAGCAAAATGGATCCTATTTGCAGCCTCAGGTCATTTACTTGAAAATGCCATCTATGGGTTTGTGGGTTTAGAGCCGTCCCTTAGGCACAGCTATTTATATGTTTATGTAGGTTCTTCAGAACAGTAGGCGGCATTTTTGTTCAGTAGTGAATTTTATGAAATAATCTGTGATTATGTTCTGGTTATGTGTTCATGTGGGTAGAGTTGACTGTCAGTCTTTTCTGTTGAATAGGGATGCTGCTTGCTATTTTACGACCTATTGGAAATTTAGGGAGAGGAAGGAATGGAGTCGAAGACTTCATAAGGTTGTAAATGTTTATGGAAATAATACCGAAAACAGTTCTAGAATCTCCAAGCAGCAGGAAATGGTACTGTTTTATAATGTTTGCTTTGTAGCTTATCACTATCTGTAGATTGTTTGGGTTAGAGGGTGTTAGTGTTGTTTAATGTCATCGCAGTGTGTGTTCAGGTCTAATCCTTACTGCTCTGCCACATTTTTGTGTGATATAAACATACTTACAACTGCAATTATCTGATAAAGTCCTGAAGACTCTGACAAATGATTAATAACCAATGACTTTCATTCCTGCTGGCTCAGCCCACCTGATACAAGCAAACTGGCCTGCCATCACACGCTACGCTAGGCCTCCCCCATTTCTCTTTTTTCCACTTTTCAGTATTTTGCCTGATGGCGCCCTCTTCTAGTGCGCAAGCCTCCTTTCTTGTGGCACAAGAAAGAGATGACACACAAGTGAGTCCATGGAGCTTGCCCGCCTGGTTCCTGTACACTTTGTTCTTAAAATGGGACAGAGGCTATCCTTCCTAAGCAAACTTTTGTTAGTGTGTTGTGCTGTCACCTGGGTTTTGTGTCACCTTGGCACATGTATACAGAGGCACAGATTGTCTTTATCATTTCTCTTGCTAGCTTTTTATGGGGAAAGATATCAGCACCTCTGATTTTGTAATTTCATCACTATAGACTCACACTCATTTGCTTGAGGCCCCAATTCTCCATATTTAGAGCTCCAAGCCCATGTGTTGAAGGCCTAGGTCTAAGCCTGTGGTTCCATGTGGGCCAGTGGAAGCGTGGGAGGTTGTGCCTTGAGGGGGAATGTTGAGATCTAAACTACCCCTGCCCCGCAACGCTCTATGGTGTGTGTGTGTGTGTGTGTGTGTGTGTGTGTGTGTGTGTGTGTGTACATGCACCTCCTGGTTGTCATGAAGAGACTGTAACATACAGGTCCAGATCAACAGAGCCAATAACCAAGAACTGAAACCTCTGAAACCTCTGTCTTTGAAAGTCAAATAATCTTTCCTCTTTTGAAGTAGCTTAGCTTGTTACAATGATGGAAAGCTGAAGAACACACTTTCTCTTTCTGTTTCTCCCTCTTGCCTGTATTGTTCTCTGTGAGGGCACGAGCTCTACCAGCCTTGGAGTTGAGAGAGTGTGGGAAAGAGAAGGGGGAGTGAAAAGGTGTTATGTGGAGACACATGAAAATTGAAAGTGCTTACTCTGAATATTAACTAGTTAAATTTTGTGTTTTCTTCTATGGTTGTAAGAATTCTCCTTCCTTTTTCTAATGATAGGACAATAAGTTTTGATGGGGGCTGCCCTTCTGTATATATGTTTCTCTTATTGGTTGATGAATAAAACACTGTTGGATCAATAGCCAGGCAAGAAGGATAGGCGGGGCAGCCAGACCAGGAGAAGGCTGGGAGAGGAGGCAGAGAGAGGCACAGAGAGACTCCATGCTGCCCATGGAGTAACATGCCGGATTTCGGGTAAGCCACAACTTCGTGGCAATATATAGATCAATAGAAATGGGTTGATAATTAAGACAGAGCTAGCCAGTAAGAAGCCCTAGCTAGGCCATCAGTTTTGTAATTAATATAGTGTCTGTGTGTTTATTTGGGACGAATCAGCTGCGGGACCAGTTTGCAAAGGAAATTCATCAACAAAACTTGCCTTATTCTGAGTCAGGTAGAATTGTGCTCTTGTAGGAGGCGTTTGACCGGACAGTGTTCAAACCTGATTTCTAACCCCGCCTCTCACGGTTGTGCACTGTGTGTGCCTTACTCGCTTCACATTCCACCCCGTGCTCTCTTTGTGCCTCATATGTTGGAGGCTGTCTGTCTTTGAGAGCTTTGCCTGGGATTCTCTCCTCCTCATGTCGTCATAGCTACCATCTCTCCATCCCTTAACATTCACCCTGAAATCATCATGAGTCAATTTTAATACAGTATAATTCTGATTGTGATCACAGGGCTCTTCACTAATTGATTTTTTTTTTATGTTCATTTTCTACACGTACCCGTACCCTTCCCTCTCCAGGGTGCTGTTATGCAAATTATATGAGCTGAGTCCTGCCTCTTTGTCACTGAACTCCTACCTCTTCACACAGACCCTCACCCAGTAAAAGCACAAGAAATGTGTGATAAAATCACTGAAACTCACCTTTCCAATCTGTCTGCACAAGCTATATCTCTGTGTATTGGCACTTGAGATAGAACCCATGCACATTCATATCCTTTACTTCCTTGGGGCCATCAGGTACCTGCATTTATGTAGAAATTTATTTTATTTCCATGAATTTATTTTTAAACTATGATTTAAAAATATCTATAACCTAAAGTCTCTGAAAAATTGTTAATTTAAGCTTTTAAATAGAGAGAGTTTACTATAACTAAGATCTCTTGGGCTGCTGGCACTCATCATTCAGTCTAGCTCTTCTGGTTTTTCTATCATGTGTGTTAGGAATGAAAACTGTTTACCTATATTTTAATTATTGTCTCATTTTCCAAAGTTGCAAACTTAAGAAACCCTTGTTCATGGGGCTTCAGAACAATAGAGTACATCTTCTCTCTCCTTGTTCCCAAAGTTTCTGTGTCTGAAGTGACACATCCCTAAATGATCTTGGCATCTCTAACTAGCAGAATGCAGTACTCTTGAGATTACTCAGGCCTCCCTATTCACTGCTGTTCATCCAGATAGTGAACCATATCCCCTGTGGCCCATAGTCCAGGGGAAAGATGGCAATTACCAAAGCAACTGTTTACCATTCTAACTATTGGAGAGTTTCCATGTTTAACTGAAAGATTCCATTTTTAATAATAATAATAATATTTAGCAACTGTAAGCCGTGATCCTAATTTGCACCATCCCTATTCTGCTAGGAGTGATGGGACAGGACAGGAGAGAGCAGACCAAGGTCTCAGAGAATGACATGTACCCTAAGAAATGGAAGGCCATAATTACTGCCGTGTCCATATCCAGCCATGTCTCTAGACACCTGTCTTCCTGGCCATTTTGTAATCCAATGCAGAAGAGCTGCCTTGTTGTTTAGATAAGAATGCCAACAGCAAGAGCAATTGAAAGTGTGCTTTCAGCCCCTACCTTCAAAGCTGCTTGGTGACTCTGAAGCCCTTTCCCCATGACCTGAATGTGCCCTCCATGAGCCTGAGGAGTTCCACTTTGTGTGTCATGCAGGCAGGTAGTGTTCAGATGAGGGAGGTATGGGGCTGAGGGGAGAGGGCACAGGGACGATGGCAGCCTTACAAAACTGGAGCGCATGTGCAGATTCCATTTCTGTTAGAAGTTGCCTGTTTCTTCCCTGTATTTCATGTCGCTTGTTAATGAAAAACATGATGCTTTTAAATTGATTGAAATTAAAACACATAATTTCTCATTTTAGCAATATATTATGTTTATTGGCTTTTATAGTTTCATATTATGATGCTCATTACACATAAAAACCCACTCAGTATAATAAACACTGTGTGAGTCAGATGCTCTGCCTGTTTCAAATGACTCCAAGGTGAAAAACTCTTCGGCTGATTTGATTGAACTAATGCAAACATTATTGTCCTGTTGACTCTTTCTTGCCCATTGATTTTTTAATAGTCTGTACATCCCTTGCCATCCATTAAAGTGAATCAGATGTGATTTGCTCAGGACAAGAAAATGCTGTTGGGTGTTGGATGTGTGTATTCATGTGAGAAAGATTCATGTATACTCTTAAACAGACTTATTGGGAAAAACTTCTCATATTTTGCTGTGAACAACTTCTTTCCTCTTGATTTTTGAGTTAACAATAGTGACTCTGAAACATCGCATGGATACATGTCTCAGTAATAAGTGAAGCCAAATGGCGAACTATAGGTGGCTTTATTATCCCATACTGAACAGAATTAAAAGCTAGATCTTACATGACCTTGTGTTTTTCAGTTCATGTGTGTGACAGGTTCACATTTTGCTGATAATACTTCCTCCTGTGGGTGTGGGTGGAAGTCATCCCTCAACTATAGGTAACCCTTTCCTTCTCATAAGGGTTCAAACTGGAGGTTGGGAATCTGCTCTTTGACCACTAGAATTAAAAGAAATTTCTCTTTTTTCCTATCGTTTTTTGTTTCATTTTACATTCCAACCACAGTTCACCCTCCCACCCCTTCCCCTGTTCCCCCTTGCCTCCTCCCACCCCCTTCCCTCCCCTCTAGCCCACCTCCAGTCTACTCTTCCTCACAGTTAAAGTCTCCCATGGGGAGTCAACAAAGTTTGGTCCAATAGGTTGGGGCAGAGCTTTAAGGCTGAGCATGGCAACCCACCATGGGGAGTGGGCTCCAACAAACTAGCTCATCTACCAGGTTTGTACCTTAGTGCTGCTGCCAGGGGCTCCTCATCTAGTCCAAGCTTCACAATTGTCTCCCGCATACGGAGGGCCTAGTTTGGTTCCCTAGAGTCTCCACAACTGTAGGTCTAGAGTTCATGAGTTTCCATGAGCTTAGTTCAGCTGTCTCTGTAGATTTCTCCATCATGCTCTTGATCTCCCTTGCTGATGTATTTCCTCTTCCCTCTCTTCAACTGGAATCCTGGAGCTCGGCCTGGTGCTTGGTTGTGGATCTCTGTGTCTGCTTCCAGAGGTTAAGAATCTATTCCTTGGTCACTAGGATTAAAAGAAATTTCTGTCATGGCCTGGTCTGTCTTTTAGTTGGTAAAGAGCAGTTTCTTTGTTTTTCACAATTTGTCCTCCCCCATACTCTTTAACAACAGTCTTACTGAAAACAAAAACTACCTTCATTCTGCAAACCAGATTAATTCATATTAGGAGTCCCTAACCCTAACACTTCCTTCTGCAAATACTATTAATCTATATTAGGAGTCCCAAAAGTTCTGACTTTTACCTCCTGGACTCATGGAAGAAGTGGGAAACAAAAAGGGCAGCTGCCCATGTGACAGTCTCGATGTCTGCTGCCCATGTGACAGTCTCGATGTCTGCTGCCCATGTGACAGTCTCGATGTCTGCTGCCCATGTGACAGTCTCGATGTCTGCTGCCCATGTGACAGTCTCGATGTCTGCTGCTGAATTTCCAG